ATGAGAAGATGAACTAAAACAAATATATGGAAGGACCTGCAAAAAGTGTTTTTTTAAGTATGTGGAAGGTTAAAAAGTAGAACTTTAACAGGTTCTAGTTTAAACGCTTATTTTCAAGTACTCAGTGTTACCAAGACTCCTAAACCAGGCAATGGGCATTATCTCATTTAATATCCACAATAACTGCTAATTTGGCTGCTGTTATTATCATCATTTCAAAAGGAGGACACAGGCTCAGAAGCATTAGGTAATTTGCCCAAGCTCACAAAGCTAACTGTGAAAAGGCTGGACTCTAACTCAGGGGTGTTTGGCTCAAGATCCTATGCTCTTAACCACCATTTCTTCAAACAAGTGGAAAAATCAAAGTAAAATTGTTAACAAGAAAAAAGTTATTAAACTATAGAGCTGCTTGATTTTTAATGACCTAAGTTAAAGAGGAAGTTAAGGAATGTTCATTCTCAGGGATTTTTACTTCAATGATCCAGTAACTGTTTTTGGAAAACTTGGTAGTAGTCTGCTCTGAAACCTGAAACCGAACGATGGACCTTTTGACACTCCTTTGAAATCCAAAAATCTATATCAATGTGCTATTAAATAGAGCCAGCCCCTACCCCTAAGGAAGCAACATCAAAGGCTCTATGTTAAATCTATTATAACCATACCCATCCTCTGTTCTGATTTCTTCCAATCCTTCAGCTCTGAGTTTCCTAGACCTTCTTTTAAAAAGACATGTTTCCCTCCCTCACCCAGTTACTGGAGGCTCATTTAAAACGGAAAAAGTCTAAGGAGAAAAACCCCTACTCCTCAATCTCTGTTATCTTTTCAAAAATATTTTAAAATTATTAGTTAGAAAAGGACAAAAATGAGGTATCTTTAACAAACAGCATCTAAAATTGTTGAGTAGCCACCACTGATAAGGTGTTTAACTTAGTTTTTCAATTTTAAGGACCTCTATATTAAGAAATATGATTCAATCTTATCCAGATTTGCTAAATTTTCAAATGAGAAAAACTTTGAAATAACAGAGGACTGAGGAAACTCTAAGAACTAATTTAGAATTGGGGTGATGCATAGTAGCTAATTCTCAACTGATGAACTGAAAAGGATAAGTACAATATTGCCTCTGAAAAGGAAGTGATTGGAGCATAACTTGATGCACAGTATTAAGTATGATTCAGCATAGAAAACAGACAGAAAATTGGCACTACACAAAGGTAATCTGCCTTAGGTTTACAATATAACAGCCGCTTCATTTCATCAAAATCACTGTAATCACTTCTGCAAAATTAATTGTAATTTATTCCTGGCAACTCTTGGAATTAAGTCTAGACCTGTTTAGTCACTTTTTGAATTTTATAATTGCTTTCTCTGGTGTTTACAAACTGAGAATTTATCTTTCTATTGAATAAGGACCTACAAAATAGCAAGAACATAAACAAATTTATCTTCTGCTGATACTGATTAGGGAAATTAATCTCTCCTTGAAGAGAGAAAGGACTTAACAGTAAAGCCAATCAATCTACTAACAATAACTCTTACTATAAATCTTTAACTCCTTAAAATGATTTCCTCAAAGGCTAAAATAGCAAAGTGGATCCAAACTCTGTGTGGGTGTGTGTGTGGGGGGGGATCCCTCTTAATGCCATCAGTTCAACTAACAATTCTTAATCCTGTAATATACCACCTAGACTCAAAACTTCAAGGTGTTTTAAAAACTTACATTAAGTTCTAACAGAATGATTACTTACTTCGGATATACATATTTTGAAGGTTTTCCTTTAGTATACTTCAATTTCAGGAAAATGGGGCAGTTCTAAAAATTTTAGTTACATATTTCATTTGCTCTGATCACATACGTTTTTTCAATCTCATTAAAAATGTTTGCCTAAATAGAGGCAGCCGCTGCATTTTCACTAAAATACTTCCAAGAATTAACGAGGCACATATTCATTCGTAACGGCTGGGCTCTCCTGACAGGTGGAAGAAATCACACCTATTCGATTCTTATGTTCTCTTTAAAATGTTGCTATTTCTCTAAATTCCCGTTACTCCGACTCCCAGTCTAGGCAACTTCTTCAAGGTGATTAAAACAAAACAAAACCTGCACGTGCAAACTAAGAAAGTTAGCATCTTCAGGCCATCGCAGCAAATCCCTAATGGCACAAAGGCAGAGGCACCCGCCGCGGCTGGACACCCCAGCGCAGATCACACCCGACCACGCGAGCGCGTCGGTCAGGAGCCCCGGGCCGCGAGCCCGCTGGGAAGCCGGACCTGCGAGCAGGGGCCGCCCCGGGGCCGAGTTTTCAATGGAAACCGAGAGGATGGGGGCGGGAAGCAGCGGAAGCTCGGGTACAAACGGCGGCGACCGAGCTGCGGCTTATTTCTCTGCCGGGGTTTCAGGGTAGGGGAAGTCCACCCGAATCGGGGTACAGGGCAAGCTGGCTTTTTGAGGCGGGGGAAGGAGGGCGGTGCGAAGCCCCGGCGGCCGGGAAGGGAGGGCGAGCTGAGCCCAGCCCCCGGCCCCTGAAAGCACTTTCGATCCATCTCCCACCCCCCACACCAAGATGGCGACGTGGACAGAGGGGGAGCCCGGCCCGCGAGGTTGGGAGAGAGGGGAGGGGAGGAGA